TCTCCTCTACAGTCACTCTCTCACAGACGCGCCGTTACCTTTCTCTGCCTTTTCTACAAATACTTTATGGTAATTGCTCCGATGAGCTGCTTTCACTGGTTCCCAGACTCCATGAATTCAAGCGCCCTATGAGGCTGGCATCCCGCTCCCACCCTTACACTGTAGAAACTTTTAAATATAGCCGTCTCTTCTACTCCACTAGCTTACCCTGATCTATCCACTATCCCTCTCCTCATCCTTTCTTCTATCACTCCTATCTGCTCTTGCTCCAAATCTTCTGCAACCCCCGGCATCCTAGTGGTTTCACGCCTTGCTCGTGGCGTAATGCTTAAAAAAAGAAAAAAAATTATTTTCATTTTTTTCTAGTTGAATTGTTCACTTATAATACATATGTTCCATTATTCTACATAATTAGGTTACAACAAAATTTATATTTTATATGAATACTACATTATGAAAATTGAGATGTAGCAGAGTTATGGTGGGCATATAGATTAAGTGGGGCATATTATAGATTCGGGGCGAGCATGAAACCCTAGCATCTACCCAGGGTTCGTATGTATGTCTAACGAATAAAATTTCTTAACGATTTTTATCTATCGAAGCCATTTTTTTACTGTCATTTGCAAACGTTAACTTTTTTGTTTTTATCTTTGCTTTATTTAATTTCAAAACTCTTTACAGCAAAATAAAAAAAAATACGCTCTAATCTTTCGTCATGGGAGTATTCAAGATTTTTAATTTGGTTTCTCCAGCATTTGATTTGAATAAACAATACAAGGGAAAATCAGATAATAACAATTGTCTTCCATTTTTTTAACAGAAATTTTGTCTTTAACTTTGAAATGGTATTCTCAGACACAGCTTAAACACTTGAATCTTCAAACTAAATAGTTAGATACGCCCCAAGGCCCGGTGTTTGTAAAATTTCACTCATTTTAAAAATAGCAAAAATTAAAACACATTTCTGCTTCGTTTTCTTTTGAACATTTCTATTTGCAACGCGGTTGCAACAGCCGTCGGCCATATTGTTTGCAAAGTAAATATCTGTCCCTCTTGGGAAACTGGTTACAGTCATGACTCTGCTTGCTTTTGTTTTACTGACGATTTGTTTTTGCTGCAAAATATTTGTTTTTCTTTAATGTTATGTTACAAATTTGATTGATTTCAATTCGCTACAGGAGTCTACCAGATGTGATATCTTTCGATGACGTCATACATCAGTGATTACAGATAAATAACAAAGAATATGTTTTGTTTTTATAATAATATTCTATTTGTACAAGGCCCAAGAACCACTCTAGATAGATGTTACACGTCTTCAGTGGTGCAAAACGATTAAAGAATCACCCTAAAAGGACATAACAAGTTGAAGAATTGAGAAAAGGAAACACTAGTTTCACGCTCTGTAACTTTTTCAAGATCGATTTATGCAAATGAAAATGTGGAGATTTACTGTTCGACAACTGGGGAAAAAAGATAGTAAGGTAAGGTATTCAAGTTTATTCTAAGCTCTCTCGTAATGATGGCTACAATGTTTTTATTTTTGTTCACGCAAAGTATATGCATATCTATGACAGGTTTTCTTTTTTTTTTTTTTTGCAGTGCTGTTGCTTACCTAATGCAAAACCCAAGAGCTCCTCAAGGTAGAGGGTTAATAAATGAGTTTTTTTCGTGGACGTAAGAGAAGCTAAGAAGTTCAGATTATGAGGTTATGTAGGATAGATAATTGTTGACCCTAGATTTGAAGACGTTAATACTGTAGTGAGCGATAAAGCATCTTCTTTGGAAGTCTATTTAGAAAGGGGGCCTCTAAATAGAACTTCCGACTTATCAATGTAATACGATGAGAATGATTTGATTCTGTGTACATAGCATGGCGTATCCTAGCTGCGAGGGTCAGAACGGGTGAAACTAAGGCCTAGAGCACTTTAGAACATTTGCTAGAGAAATAGATAGATTAGCGATAGGCTTGCAACCTTGCATCGGTGAAAAAGGAGAAACATGTTTGAAATTAATGGAAGTTTAATTAATAAATAAATTGATCCCCTTGTCTTATAATTGTCGTTGCTGTTGGAAACATAATGTCGACATAAGCTGACTGTTCAAGCTACGGTTAACAACATTTAATCGATATGATAAAGCAAGTAAAAGTCTCGGCATCTTCCTCAGGTCGAAGGGTTGCATATCGATCACAATTAGAGATCAATTATCGCTGATTAAGAATCTGTTCGTGCCTTCACATATATACACCTAGTCAAGAGCACTACGACGTGGTGTAATGGTTAGCAAGCTTTTCTAACGAAAACAGTTACGAGTGAATACTGAGTTTGATCCTAACTGGGTGCTCCCTACTTTCGGTCTTCTGCCACATCTAAGCTACGCTTAGAAAATCATTTGGACACCTCGACATTTAAAATGGTTAGCAAGCTTGTTCAATACGAGACTTCGTGATGTTATTGTACTGGAGCGGGGACGATCCCAGCGTTCGGCATCTTTGGAAAGTAACTGAAAACCGTACTTGTGAGTGAAATTGCGTGCCGTCGACAGATAGCATGAAGTCATAAATCATCGTGCCCGCTCTTTCCCAGAAACTGTAACTAAGGTCTGTTCAGCATAGCTGCGGTATAAACCACAGGTGGGCTCTGTGGGTGTTGAATAAATACAAATATGCCTAAGCAAGCGTCTGCAATAGAGATTGGCTAGCCGCCTTAGTAGACAGGTATCATCGAATACGAGTGGCTAGCTATACTATACTATACTATACTATACTATACATATATATATATATATATATATATATATATATATATATATATATATATATATGCGTGTGTGTGTGCGTGAATAATGACACAAAAAGGAAAAGTTTTCTTTACCACCGCGTTTCGTCATCTAATGGTCTCTACCAAGACAAATGTAAGGATTTTATTTTGAAAATATGAACAGAAGTATAAAATATCGTTAGATTTTAAAAGTTTTTAAATTTAAGGATGTTCAATAATCTCAAGGCGAACTGTGAAAATAAAGGTAAACTATGGAAGATGCTAAGTGATGTAATTTAACAACTAATAAACGAAAAGTGAGTATATATTGTTATTGCCGTTGATTTTTTTTATTTTCGTATTAGTTTATAGATATTTATTTACTTATTTTTATGTTAATGTAATTAGTATTTATTAATTTAATTTGATAAATTATTCATGCGTTCATTCCTTTTAAATAATAGAACGGTTTAATTTAAACCTTTTCTAATTGTCATTTTTTAACATATCAGTTGGTTTTGGAAAGAGTATTTCTTTTTGGAAAGGAAATATTGAACAAATTCGGGGGTGTAGGTTAACATTTTAGCAAGACTCGATAGCGGCACTCTCAAGAACTTTCCATCTAGGTAAGTCATTTTATCTTTTAATAAGTGTGACGTTTTTTAGATAGAAGAAACAGTCATTGAATGCATACAATAAACACACAAGTATGGTTTTGAAGATAGAGATATGAATAAATAGCATTTTCAACGTAGGAAAAACGCAGGTTAAAATAATTAATTTCATTATTGATTTCCATTTATATTGAACTGGCGACGAAAATTTTTCTGGATGCAGGTGACATAATTTGTTATAATTTCGGTAATTTAATAACTTTTTTCTAACTCTTTCTAGATACCATTTTTTTGTTTTGTTTTTTATTTGATTATCTTTTTACTTTAGGAATGTCTTTTATTCGGTCATAAATTTGATTTCATTTTGTGAGAAATTTTTTCTTTAACACGATGGGCAAAAAAACGAAAAAAAAAAAAATGAAATCAGTCTCGTCGCCCGATTGGTGAAAAGACGATTCTCAAACAAGGTTCATTGGTTCTCTGTATTTCACACAAGGCAACATATATATTTCCCCTGCTCCTTTCGCTTTTCTTCGGGTGCCTCTCGTATTTTAAAAAGTCGGGCCGTTATTTAATGCGGAGTAAGCGTTTCCTTCCAAGAAAAACTCACTAGACAATTTTTCTCGTTAGAATATATCTAACATAATTATAAGTCTAATATGCGTTCTTGTTTTAAATATTGCTGCCACATCTGGTCTGGTGCTTCTGCTATACATTTTTCGATTTTTGATAGAACCCAAAGAAGAATCTGCAATGTTATTGGTCCTAACCGGGCATCTTTTCAATCCCTTTCCTACTGCCGTAACCTAGCTTCTCTCTGCCTTTTCTGTAAATACTTTCATGTTAATTGTTATGATGAACTTCCCTCTGTAGTACATAGACTTTATAAATCTAAGTTCTCATCATCTTACAATTGAATTAGGTGTAACCGTAAGTTCTATGCAAACAGTTTCTTCTATTGCACTTCTCGCTTGTAAAATTCTCTTCCGCCTTCATGCTTCCCAGTCAACAGTGATCTTCAAAAATGTAAATGCAATGTCAATCATTATCTTCTGACTTTTTAATTCTTCTTCTTTTATTGTCCTCTCTCCTTAATAGTAGTGTTTCTCATATACGCTAACACTCAGTAACCCCTTGCATCCTAGTGGCTTTATTGCCTTTGATCTTCAAACATTTAAATGCAATGTCAATCGTTATTTTCTGTCTTCTTAATTCTTCTTCTTTTATTGACCCCTTTCCTTAATAGTATTTTTTCTCATATTCTCTAACGGTAATCTCTTGCGTGCTAGTGGCCTTATTGACTTGCTTGTGAGGAAATGATGAAAAATATTCCAGTGGAGCTTGCGAATTCTTGGAAGAAAATGAATGCATAATTGCAATCTGCATTTTACCTGCTCTTATATGCAATTATTTTTAACAATCATTACTGACTTTTATTGACAAGTCCGGAAATGATCAAGCCATTTAATATTAATTAATTAAAAGTGACCTATATCTGGTAAAGGCGCCTTAGTCCACTATGAAGTTTATCCCATAACCCATGCATAACCCGATTTTAAATATGTATCGAATGCATATGATACACAGGGGTGGCATAATTTGTCCTATTTTCACTAATTCAATGACTCTCTCTCTCTCTCTCTGTGTCACACACTATCTCTCTGTTTCTCTATCTCACTATCTCTCTCTCTTACACTCTATATATCTCTATTTCTCTCTCACATTCTCTCTCTTTCTCCCTCTCTCACCCATTCTCTTTCTCAATCATTTTGTCTCTTTCGCATATTTTTTTCTTTATCAGTTGCACGAATTTTCTCTATCACTCTTTCTTTCTTTCTTTCTTTCTTTCTTTCTTTCTTTCTTTCTTTCCCACACAATCAATCTCTTTCATTTATTCTCTCGTCTCTCTGTTTCTCTAGGTTTCTCGCTATCTTTATCTCAATCATTCACACTCTCTTTTTGTCTCTTTCTCATTCCCTTTCTCTCTCTCTCTCACTACGTCTATCATTCACTCTCTTTGTTTATCATTCTCTCTCTCGTTCTCGTACACCCCCCTCTCTCTCTCTCATTATCTCTTTTCTCCTGTAATTTCTTTCTGTCTCATTATCTCAAACTCATAATGAGTGTGAATGTCCTCTCTCTCACTCACTCACTCTCTCTCTTCACTCTCATTTTCTCCTTGTCTCATTCTTTCAATTTTTCTCTTTCTCTCTTTCTCTTTATCATTCTCTCTCTTCACTCTCATTTTAACCCAGTCTCATCCTTTCCTACATTTCTCGCTATCTTTTTCTCGATTATTCACACTCTCTATTTCTCATTCTCCCTCTTTTCTCATCCTCCCTCTTTTCTCATCCTCTCTCTTTTCTCATCCTCCCTCTTTTCTCATCCTCCCTCTTTTCTCATTCTCCCTCTTTTCTCATCCTCCCTCTTTTCTCATGTTCTCTTTCTCACACTCATTCTCACTCTTCACTGTTTTTCTATTTTTCTCGCTAGCTTTATTTCAATCATTCACACTGTCTTTACTTTTCTTTCTCTATTTCTTATTCTCTTTCTCTCTCTCTCTCTCTCTAATTCTATCATTCTCTCTCTCTCTCTGTTTCTTATTCTCTCTAATTTCGCTCTCATTCTCCCTCACACTCATTCTCTCGCATTATCTGTCATTCTATTAACTTTTCTCGTTATTTTCTCTCGATTATTCAAACTCATAACGAATGTGAATATTCTCTCTCTCATTCTGTCACTCTCTCTCTTTCTCACTGATTGACTCTCTTCACTCTCATTATTTCTACTTTTCTCTTTCTCTCTCTCTCATTCTCTCTCTCTTCGCTCTCCCTGTCTCATCCTTTCTACTTTTCTCGCTATCTTTATCCCAGTCATTCACACCCTCTAGTTCTTTTTCTCTATTTCTCATTCCCTTTCTCTCTGTCTCTACTTCCATCATTAACTCTCGCTGTTTCTCATTTTCTCTAGTTATCCCTCTCTCTCTCTCTCTCTCTCTCTCTCATTCTCTCTCTTCTTTCTGTCTCATTCTATCTACTTTTCTCGTTATTTTTCTCTCGATCATTCATAGACAGTGTGAATATTCTCTGTCCCACTCTCTCTCTCTCTTACTGATTGTCTCTCTTCATTCTCATTCTCTCTATGTCTCATTTTTCTATTTTTCTCTTTCTCTCTATCATTCTCTCTCGTCGCTCTCATTTTCTCCCTGTCTCATTCTTTCTACTTTTCTCGCTATCTTTTTCTCGATCATTCACTCTCTCTATTTCTCCTTCTCTCTCTTCTTTCGTGTCTTCTTTCTCACACACATTCACGCTCTCTCTTTTTATCTCAATGATAAATATTAGAGACGAAGCAGAATATTGCTAATTATTTTTCTTTTTTATTTAATTAATGATAAATTTTAGTTCCATTCCGCGTAACGATGTATTTTCCGCAATATTGGTCTATCAGCATCCATTTTCAAAAGGTGGTAATATAAGTTAGTAACATATGTTAATAATTAATTAATAATAATTAAATAAATGTCGATAAATTCTTCTTTTCTAGAAAGCTTTCACCATTTCAATTTACGCACAAAAGAAGTGGTTATCGACATTGACAGCCGACTAGAATGACGACCACAAACGCTGATCCTCTGTCTTTCACAAGTTTGCCGTGTGCAAGCGTGCATACAATGTTTTTTTTTGTTGTTGTTTTATTTAAGCAAGTTACACCCCAAGCAATGTGGGAAGCCACTAGCACGCAAGGGGTTACAGAGAGTTGGAGCGAGAGTAAATAGGAGTGATAGAGGAAAGGATGAAGAGAAGTTTAGGGGATAGATCAAGGCAACTGGACACGTCGATTGACATTACATTTGAATAGTTGGAGATTATACCTATCAGGAAAACAAGAAATGGGGAGGGAGTTCCACAGGCGAGAAGTGCGAGACACGAAGTTATTGGAGTAGAAGAGACGGCTACATTTAACAGTTTCGACAGTGAAAGGGTGAAAGCGAGATGCCAGCCTAGTAGAACGCTTAAATTCATGAAGTCTGGGAACCAGCGAAAGCAGCTCATCGGAGCAGTTACCCTGAAAGTATTTGTAAAAAAGACAGAGGGAGGCAACAGCACGTCTGTGAGAGAGCGGCTGCAGACGAGATGCCAGGTCAGGGCCAATTACATTGCATATTCGCCTCTTGATTTTATCGAGGACCTTGAGACAAACAGAAGGGGCTCCAGACCATATATGGCAGCAATACTCCATGCAAGGGCGAATGGTTGATTTGTAGATTTGAAGGATTGACTCCAGCGAGAAAAATTTCCTGGTGCGGCACAGGGAGCTGACTTTCCTTGCGGTGGACGAAGCTATTGACTCAATGTATTCGTTCCATCTCAGGTCAGCAGACAATGTGATATCGACCAGTCGCAAAGAGGTGCTCACGTGGCGTTGAGTGACAGACATTCTAATGGGAGGCGGGGATGGTTCTCTTTGGTGAGTAATAGAGAGCAGTTTTGTTTTTGAGGCATTAAAGTTAACCAGCCAATTTCTGCCCCAGTGCACACTGCACAACCGATTGGAGGTCCTTTTCGAGACAAACGGTCAGGTTATGTATATGTGTATGTCTTTGTTATGCATCAGTGCATGTGCTTGTACCATTTAATGTGCAAACGAGCGTAACTAGACACACATAAACACAATTTGACTGAGTTTGAAGTATGTCATTGGAAATCCTCACCACGGTTGATTGATTCGTTTTCTACGGCTTATTAACCCTTTGCAGGTTATTTAAAGCCATAAATTATTTTTAGATTGTATTTTTTAAAATAATAATAGTTTAGTGATACAAGTCTTACTAATTACCTTAAAATATCTCATTTCGTACAGATATTGTTCCAAGTATTCCAACAACTATAGGTACAATTCCAAAAGCCACGGACGAAATATTTCTTATTTTTCTTTTTTCTTTCATTTTCAAGTCGTTCAACGATATTTATAATCGAAGAGATTTTTTTCTAGTTGTCAATAATCAAATTCAGTTTTGTTTTTTTTTGTTTTTTTTTTTTGCTTAGATCGTGTGGGCGGTTTGGTTCTCGTAAATTTTATTTTCCAGTACACTTTCTGGTTTTGTGTTGGCACCCAAGTAGTTTGCATAATTCTCAGTGTTTGACTCTTCCTGCTCTGTTGTGTTTGCTTTTCATATACCTTTGGGTCAGCCTGCCACATTCACTTATGGTGTGGCTTACTGTCTCAAAACAAGAGGATGCTTCCCTAATCACTACAATCTTAACCTGTTCAAGTCGAGGGTAAACCATTATCTTTCCCACATATCCTTATAAATCTTGCCTTTTATTAATGTAACTCTCTACCTCGAGTGGCTCTCTAGCCTTGTACAAGTTGAACCTCATCGTAAAAAATAAAGTGAAAATTATTTATTCATTATATTCACATATTGGAGCAAATGCTTATAATCTTTTATAAAATCCCCTCGCTTTTGTGGAAGCAACTCCCAAGAGGATGCTTCCCCAATCATTACAGTCTTAACCTGTTCAAGTCTAGAGTAAACCATTATCTTTCTCACATATCCTCATAAACTGTGCCTCTTACTCTTATCATCCATACAACAAACTTCTTCAGTAGTCCTCTACATCGTGTGGCTCTAGGGCCTTGTATAGGTTGAACATTAATAAAAAAATAGTTGATACCCAGTAAATATTATTAGGTATTATTGTCGTAAACTTTTAATAGGCCCAGCTATAACATTGCTACAAACATCTATAATACTGTGGAGAGTCCTGGAGTATTGAAGTGAATGAAAAACACCAGTTAATTTTTTCTCCTATTTACTGTATGAATTCAGGACATGAACGATCATGGCTCTCCACTAATTAATCTCTTTTGTAGCTCTAAGCAATATTTGAATCTTCTTCTCCTCGCTTTACTAACCATTCGTATAAATTCGTTTGGTCAGTTCTCGCTGGTTTCTATTTCCCTTTCCGCCTTCAGTATGGTAGTTGGGAAAATTCAAACAACCCAAATAGAATAAAAATTATTAAAATCATCTGAATACTGAGGAGAGTCCTGGTGAGACTTGCTATCATTTAATATCCATTGAAAGTGGCCCGTTCATACTGCTGTGAAAACTCAATGAGTTCAAATAAAAAATTACTAAAATCTTCTAAAATACTGAGGAGAGTCCTGGTGAGACTTTCTATCATTTAATATCCAGTGTAAGAGGCCCATTAATACTTTTGTGAAAACTTAATAAGTTCAAATAAAAAATTACTAAAATCATTTTGAACATTGAGAAATCCTCTTGGAGCAGTGAATAATATTGAATGAAAGATAACAGTTCCTCGAGCTGTGAAAACTTAATTAGTATACTATCATACTAATAATCATAGTAGCAATTTGATAGAACCTAGCAGAATGGCAAATGTTCTGAACGGTCAGTCAGAGTACTAGTTTTACAGAACAATATTCAGTAAAGTAATGAATAAGAGTCCGCAGAAATTCATATTCCAAGTTGGTGTCTGGCGCGGGATAATTCACTTCATGACTTAAAAGAATTCTTTAGCCTTGGTTGGCAGTTTTTCTAGAGACGGTGTCTCGACAAAAAACATCCGGATGTAGGGTTGGCATCCC